AAGCTCACGAGGAATCCTGAGTCAGAACAACTGAGCTAAGTTGCTTCCAGATTCCTGATCCTTAGCTATTATGTAAAATAATAAATAAATGCTTGATGTTTTAAGTTGCTAAGTTTGAGGATAATTTGCTACATGGTAATCGATAATTAATAGAGTAGACATATATGAAACTCTGTAATCTCATAATTTCATTAATAAGCATTGTAGCAATAGTTCATATATGTTACCCTTCTAGTGTAAAGAAAATCAATCAAGGGGCGCCTGGGTGGCGTAGTCGGTTAAGCGTCCGACTTCAGCCAGGTCACGATCTCGCGGTCCGTGAGTTCGAGCCCCGCGTCGGGCTCTGGGCTGATGGCTCGGAGCCTGGAGCCTGGAGCCTGTTTCCAATTCTGTGTCTCCCTCTCTCTCTGCCCCTCCCCCGTTCATGCTCTGTCTCTCTCTGTCCCAAAAATAAATAAAAAACGTTGAAAAAAAATTAAAAAAAAAAAGAAAATCAATCAATATGGCAAAAATTACAAGTTGAAATGATTAATTTGGGGGGCCACATTTTGCATTTCTGTGTTATCACATACTGTCCCTAGAGGTCTCCTACCTAACTCCTCTCTGGCTTCTTGTACGACTGTACTACTGTGTCTTTCTCAGACCCATCATCTGTTCTCTGTTTCCCATTGAAGAATTTATCTTCCTATCAATCTTTTAAACACTGGTGTCTGAATATATCCTTGACATAGCACACTTGCAATATTTCATTGCCACCTTTTCCCGGATCGTAACATAGGTGATTTTTTTTTTTAAGTTTATTTATTTATTCTGAGAGAGAAGGAGAGAGAGAGCAGGGGAGGGGCAGAGAGAGAGGGAGAGAGAGAGAATCCCAAGCAGGCTCCATGCCATCAGCACAGAGCCTGACACAGGGCTTGATGCCATGAACCGAGAGATCATGTCCTGAGTAGAGAGTAAGAGTCGGATGCCTAACCGACTGAGCCACCCAACATTGGTGACTATTTTAACACAACACTTATAAAAAAGACTGACTCATCTGTGACACTATCATACTTCTCATTTTCTCCATATCTATTTCTGTCTCTATTTCTACTGAGGTTAGGTCCCCATTTTTTTTTTGTTTGTTTTTTTTTGTTTAAAACCTCCTCTTCTGCCTGTGTCATATAATCCCCTAAGCTTTGGTATCATTTCCCACCCAAAGATCAGTCTTTCTCCCAAATGATTGATCCTTTCAGGAGAAGGTCATTTCAGATCCACAGGAGTGTGATCTTAGCCTCAAGACCTTCATCCAAATACAACAGTTCTACTGACTTATGTGAAGTCTTTTTGTTACACAGCCCCGTAAGTTTATGGAGGAAGAGACAGTATTTTAGGAAGTATATGTTTACATATTATGCTTTAGTCTTTCAGTTCCTGTAATACACATCTAGCGTGTACTTTCAAAAGATGGGAAGTGAATGCCACTCCATTAAAGTTCGTGAAACAGCGTTGAGATAATAAGAACAAACCAGAATCTGTGGAACCTAGTGCAAAGGACAGCTTGAGTTGTTCTTTTTTCTTAGTAGGCTTGAACCAACTGGACCGGATTCTACCTGTCCACTTTTAGGTGAAACAGTCTTTTACAACCTGTCCTCGCCCAAACCTGAAAAGGTCCTGAAGTCACAAAGACTCCAGAATCTAGGAGGGCCTCTCTGAGGTTCTTAGGTAATAGGAATTTAAGAAAACACATACTTAGGTAGCTACATGATGGAATACCATTTGAATCAGAGCAGGTGTGAAGTTTTGT